TTATTCTAGCATTTACTATTGCTAATGAGAAATCTGATTTTTGTTTCTTTATGGGTAACCTACTTTTTCTTTCTGCAGGCATTTATAATTCTCTCCATTTATGATAGTATAAAATGATATAGTGTTTAAGTATGGATCTTTTTTCCTTTGGTCTTGAAGTTTAGGTCTTCTCTTCTCTGAATTATCTGTTCCTCTGAGGTTAATTCTGCTTATCTTGGCCATTCTTTTCAAAATACTGTTTTTCTTCATATTTCTGATGGTCTTGGATTGTTTCTTCATATTTATAAATGAAAAAATAAGTAGTTTATATAGGCTCCTCTATGCTATGTATGTAGATCCATTTTCTCACTAGCTCTACACCCTGAATATAGTATTGGACTAAATGTTTGAGTATCTAACTGATCAGGGCTTATGACTAGCAGCTTTCCCTTTTTTAAAATTTTAATATTTTTAAAAATTGATTTTTATTTATTTATTTTTTTTAAATAATTTTTATTTCTTGAAGTATTACAGAGTATTACATATGTCTCCTTTCCCCCCCCTTGACATTCCCCCGGCCTCCCCTACCCCCTGGTGTCTTGTGTCCATTGGTTATTCTTATATGCATGCATATAAGTCCTTCGGTTGATCTCTTAACCCCCCGCCAAACCCTCCCCAGGCTTCCCACTGTAGTTTGACAGTCTGTTCAATGCTTCTCTGCCTCTGTATCTACCCCTGTTCATCAGTCTATACTGGTCCCCATTATCTGTCCCAACCTCACTGGAGCCGTCCCAACCTCACTGGGGCTGTTTCATCCTCACCAGGGCCGTCTTGACCTCACCGGGGCTGTCCCGACCTCACTGGGGTCATCCCTACCTCATCGGGGCTATCCCAACCTCACCGGGGCCGTTTCAACCTCACCGGGGCCGTCTCAACCTCCCTGGGGCCATTCTGACTTCACCGGGGCCGTTTCAGCCTCACCAGGACCGTCCCAGCTTCACCGGGGCCGTTTCAACCTCACCGGGGCCGTCCCGACCTCACTGAGGCCGTCTCATAAAAATTGATTTTTAGAGAAAGAGGGAGAGAGAGAGAGAGAGAGAGAGAGAGAAAGAAACATCAATCAACTGCCTTCTGCATGCCCCCCCCCCCCATCAGGGAGGGAGCCCATAACCCGGGCATATGCCCTTCAGTGCAGCAGATGACACCCAACCAACTGAGCCACACTGGCCAAGGCTAGCAGCCTTCTCTCTCTCTTTATTTATTATTTGATTTATTGATTTTGAGAGAAAGAGAAACATTGCTTTATTCTGAATTATTCTGAACCTAGAATTTAAAACCTTGCCAAATCACCAATCAATTATGAGTGCAAAACAGTATTTTCAGAAATATAAGAACTCAAAATAATACTTCCTGCACACACTTTCTTAGTGTGTTACGTGAAGATGTACTCCAGCAAAACCAGGGCAAATCCCAGAATGAAAAAGACATGGAGAAATAAGTGTTCCACTTATTTATGCATTCATTGGTTAATTCTTGTATGTGCCCTGATCCAGAATCGAACCCAAAACCTTGGCATATTGGGACAGTGCTCTAACTAACTGAGCTACAAGCCAGGGCCTGAATGGCTGCTTTTAACTTTGACTTTCAATTGCAATTGCTTTGTGAGGGTCTGAACAGGACCTTTTTCTGAATAAATGAGAGCCTAAACTCATTCTGCTTCAAAAATAAGGGACAGCCAGTGTTGAGGGATGTTTAATGAACCAAAGACATGGAGGTAAGACAAGCACACAGGATGATTGATGCCGGACAGAGGGCTACAGCTCGCTCAGGCATGTAGCAAACTCTGCACTCTCACCATCGCTTTTATTGGGGTTTGGTACAAGGTTAGTGCATCAGCAGTTAATCAACTAAATCTTGTTTTGTTCTATATTATTACAATAGCATATTGAAGACAACTTGCAGCTGTGCCCTCCCTTTCTGCTCTACACCCATGACTATTTAATCTTAGCCTTTCTCAGGGAGGTAAATGTTCCTGGAACTCAAGATTGTGTGCAATCTTGACCCAGTGTGACTCGCTTGCAAGTCATGCTGTGCTCCTGAGAGAACATTCACTTCTTCTTGGCAGGACTTCATATCCTTGTTTACAAATGTCCAGCTACAGCCAGGCAGTTTCTAATCTTCCTAGAGAAGGCCAACAGAATTTTCTCTCAAGGCCTGAGATGCTATCTCTGTCTGGCTGGCCCCACTAACATACATAGATCACCAGGAATATTCTCTGGTCCCCATAACCAACTTCTATGAGTGCCTCGGGGACAATTTAACAGGGACTCTCCCTTCCCTTCAAGGGGCCACTGCTCTCTTCTAGGTCTCCTATATGACCAGTGCTTTTGGAACATGAAAGGCAGGGCAACAGGTCACTAGCCCAACTACTAAAGATGAGTTGTGGCACAAGTTTTCTAGGTACCCCTTGTACACAGACAGATACAAAAGGGAGAACCTCCAGTAAGGCTGGCTAAGTCCAGAGGCAGACAAGAAGGGACACCCCACTTGGGATTAGTTTTGTGCAGCATAGCGTACACCTGTCTGAGCAGAATGAGTCCATTGTTCCAGTGCCCAGCCACCACTGTGACTCTGTATCTTCAGGACACGGGGTAAAACTCTACACCCAGGTGTCACCCGGATGGCAGGATATCCCTGTGGAGTGGAGTCCACCTGTCTGAGTCGGGTGAGTCCATCCTCCCCATGACTGGCCATCTCTGGATCATGGTTAAGTCTGCCTTCAGGGCATGGGTACTCCTCCACACCCCAGGTATTTCCCTGGCAAAAGGGAACCTGCCCTACTGTGGTTCTCAATCACAGGACGACAGTCCAGGACAGCCCAGAGACTAGCAGGGATGCCTCTAACTCTTGGCTTGGAATTTCTTTGCCTCTCTGTAGATGGGGATACAGTATCTCAAGATACCCCTTTGGGTTCCTTAAGCTTCTTTTACAACATAGCCTGGCCCCACTGTAAAGTGGGTAATGGAGAGGTTTGGCCAATATGGCACCATTAAGTTTAATGCTATCCTGCAGTTAGACCTATTTTGCCACTCCAAGGGAAGTGAATGGAGAATGAGGCCTTTTTAGATCAATGTGTTTTTTTAATGCATGCAAGCCCTAATGACTCCCAGGAATGACCCTCAGCTTTATGCTACCTGTAAACTAGATCTCTATAGCTGCTACAGAGCCTGAAAGGAAAAATACTCAAATGGAAACATTCCAAAAATGGATGAATAAATTTGTTAGTCCTTTGCCAACATTTGCCAATCCTTAAGGTATCAAAAACAATTGCCCTTGTCTTTACAGGACCAGACGTGTGGCTCCAGAATGTCAACGCCAACTAAATCCTTTTACCTTCCCCCAAACCTCCCCTGTTCAGCTGAAAAAGCTTATAGATAATTGGCTTTATGAAACCAAAGTCCTAGGGTCTTTGAAATGCAAAATACCTGGTTAAAAACTCTAATCTAGGCCATCTTTTATTTCTTTTTATTTTTTAAATATGTTTTTATTGATTTCAGAGAGGAAAGGAGAGGGAGAGAGAGATAGAAACATCAATGATGAGAGAGAATCATTGATTGGCTGCCTCCTGCACTCCCCCTACTGGGGGTTGATCCTGCAACCCAGGCATTTGCCCTTGACTGGAATAGAATCCAGGGCCCTTCAGTCTACAGGCCGACACTCTATCCACTGAGCCAAACCCGCCAGGTCTCTAGGCCACCATTTAGAATGGAGTAATCCTTATTTAAAGGAAAAAAATACATTAGCCAACGCTAAACATTGATTGCTAAACAAGTCTTAAGTTTACCTACTTTGGGCCTTTTAGTACAAAAAAAGCCAGGAAATATATTTTAAATTATTAATACATATGTTATACTTTATTAGAAATATGTCTCTTAAAAATATGAATTTGGCCCTAGCCCAGGGGTGGGCAAACTTTTTGACTCGAGGGCCACAATGGATTCTTAAACTGGACCGGAGGGCTGGAACAAAAGCATGGATGGAGTGTTTGTGTGAACTAACATAAATTCAAAGTAAACATCATTACATAAAAGGGTACGGTCTTTTTTTTCAATAGTTTTATTCATTTCAAACGGGCCGGACCCGGCCTGCGGGCCTTAGTTTGCCCACGGCTGCCCTAGCCTCTTTGGCTCAGTAGATAGAGTGTTGACCCTCAGGGGACTGAAGAGTCTCTGGTTCGATTCAGGTCAAGGGCTCGTACCTCAGTTGCAGGCTCAATACATGCTCCTCGTCTGGGTATGTGCAGGAGGCAATGAATAGAATCAATTTATCTCTCTTACACTGGTGTTTCTCTCCCTCTGTCTCTCTAGCAGCCTTCTCTTTGGACTTGGGTTTGGAGGCTTCCTTTGGGCTGGGGGACTCCAAATGCCAGATTAAGAAGAGTTTTCCTTTGCTATGGGGCAGCAACACTTATACTACTCTTTAATTTTCTCCAGGCATTTATTCTGTTTCTACTGAGTCCTCTTCTTTTTTCTGTTTCTTTCCTTAACTCAGTAAAGATTGGATTAATTGTGCCCAGTGTGGGGATGATGGGTGGGGGAATCATGGAGAGCCAATGGGAGCATTTGTTTCATGGACAAGCTTTTTATTTACCCCCTAATTTTCAGACTCCCTTCTTATTTTGACCTTGAATACTTGCCAGCTCTGAAATGGGAGCCGTTCTATGATTCTGCCAAGTGCATTGGTTTGTTCCATTCTGTTTCATCAGTTGACACATTTCCAATCTTCCAGAAATTTGTTAAGCCCATTTTCTTCACTGTTAAGGGCTTATTCCTGTGTTCTTGGCTGAATCAAACGTGGGACTGTTTCGTCCGCAGGCCAACACTCTATCCACTGAGCTAAACCAGGTAGGTTTCTTACAACATCATTTTGAAACATTCTTCTGAGTTCACAGAAAGGACAGGAAAAGTTTCCTTCTATTTATGTCTCACTTGTTGCTTTTAAAATTCTTGTACATTTACTTACTAGTATGTCCTTTTGTGTGATGTTCGGATGCAGTTCTGCATTGAACAGCAGAGGATGGCCATGCTGACCACCAGGATCAGGCTGGTGACCAGGTAATGTTCTGATATGCAGCTGGTCTTCTGGAAGTCTTCCCTCAGCGAGGAGGACATGTAAAGGTATATTTTGATTTTGATGTCGGATTTCTGTAATAATCGGACAGTGTTGCAGAAGCTGGACTTTGACCTCTCAGCCACCATGTCAGTGAGACTGTTGATTGACTGCAGGTAGTAGGTGAGCTGGACGGCCTCTGCGGATTTCACCCAGTCGTTGCTGTGCACGGTGACACCTCCAAGCCTGGTCCCATTGTACACAGCCCTCCCGTCCTTTACCAGTAAGTGAATGATCAGGTATGTGATAGCAAAATTGGTCCAATTGGTGACCTGAGCATTCTTTAGCTTTTCCAGCACATGCACTATGTCATCCATAATGCAAGTCTTATTGTTATTCAGGACACATATGTGGGCAAACGTGTAATTGAAACCAGGTCTTCGTCACAGCAGCGTGCAACTTTAAGATCAGGTCTATGTGATGTTGGTCTCTTGGCTTTCTGGAAGGAGGTGACGGTGACCCGGCCATAGCACCCTGAGGTCTGCAAGTCCGAGTAGAGCCGGTGCTTGGAGCTGTTGACCATAAAAAGGCTGTTAACGAGGTTGCACTTGATCTTGGCGAGGCTGTGCTGGGGCGCCAGCAGGTGCTCCACGCTCTCCTCAACCTGGTAGCAGCTGAAGCTGGCGCAGAGCAGGACGGGCATCCCGGCGAGGAAGATTGGGTGACTAGCAATGAAGTGGCCGAGCTGGAGAAACACGTCCTCAAGCCGCTGTGCAGAACCCGCTGCAGCTTCCTAGAGCAGAGCAGGCGCGGGAAGAGGGCCAGGCGCACGCTCGGCGTGGGCTCCAGCAACAGCGAAAGCAAAGGCGAGACCTGGAGCTCTTCCGGAACCGCGGCACCACCATCGGGGAGTCCCGCGCCGCCCCTTGAGATGGTCCCCTGGGGCCAGAGATAAGCCCTCCAGCCCGTGGCCTCGCTGGCCCTGGGAGCTGCCCAGCCTGGCGGCCTCTGTGCTGCCCCCATCCCGCCCTACCCGTGAGCCCTTCCCACCCTCAGCAGCCTTCCCCCTCTCTCGTTTTAATTTGTATTTCTTAAATGTGAATGAGGTTGATCATTTTTTTAATATATATTTTATTGATTTTTTACAGAGAGGAAGGGAGTGGTATAGAGAGAAACATCCATGAGAGAGAAACATCAATCAGCTGCCTCCTGCACACTCCCTACTGGGGATGTGCCCGCAACCAAGGTACATGCCCTTGACCGGAATCGAACCTGGGACCCTTGACTCCGCAGGCTGATGCTCTATCCACTGAGCCAAACCGGTTAGGGCAAGGGTGAGCATTTTTTAGATGTAATTTCTTCTGTGAATTGCCTGTTGATGTCCTTTGCTCATATTGTTTGTGTTTATTGGTTTGTAAGAGTGCTTTTTATATTAAGTATCACAATTCTGACTCTGGGTTTCTATCATTTATAAGTTTGAGATATGCAGAGTGACACAAAAATTAGCAAGCTTCTTTTTTAAAAAAAAATCCTCATGTTTTTACTGATTTTAGAGAGAGGGAAAGGGAGGGGGAGAGAGAGAGCCTTTAATGTGATAATGTAAATTGTGACAAAGTGAATGTGATAATGTAAATTGTGACAAAGTGAATTTAGTATGCAACATTTCTCAAACTAATCTGACCACAGAACTATTTCTCTCTGGAGTATCTTTTTAAAAAAATTTTTTTTTTAATTAATTTCGGAGAGAAAGGGAGAGGGAGAGAGAGAGATAGAAACATCAATGATGAGAGAGTACCATTGATTGGCTGCCACCTGCACACCCCACAGGGAATAAAGCCCACAACCCAGGCATGTGCCCTGACTGGGAATCGAACTATGATCTCCTGGTTCATAGCTCCATGCTCAACCACTGAGCCATGCTGCCTTGGCTTTCTGGAGTATTTGAGGAACTAATTGTATATTCTGCATCCAGTACCTGGCATATAGTAAACTCTAAGTAAATATTTATTGAATAACTGAATGAATATATCTGTTAATGCCTAATAGATGAGCATTTTTTGTACCTAATACAGTGGGGCCTTGACTTACGAGTTTAATTCGTTCCATGACGGAGCTCGTAACTCAAATTACTCGTATGTCAAATCAACAGGGAACGAGTGAGACACGTGATGCTGGGCTGATGTTGTGGCATTCACTGTGACGTTCGCTGCGCCAACTAGTGGTGGGGTATCTGAAGCTGGCTCGTAACCCGAATTTTAGCTCGCAACTCAAAGCAAAAAATCGGCCGAGAGATGGCTCGTATCTCGAAAAACTCGTTAGTTGGGACACTCGTAAGTCAAGGCCCCACTGTATATGGTACTCAGATAGGTACTGCTCACATGCATAATTACTGTATTTCATCTAATCTAAAACATCACTGATATAGGATGCACCCTTGTTTTATGCACCACTAAGAAAGAACAAAATATTAGCCATACTATCTAATAAAGAGTAATATATAAATTGACCATCACTCCAACACACAAGATGGCCACCCCATGTGGACACAAGATGGCCGGCAGGAGAGGACAGTTGGGGGCAACCAGGCCTGCAGGGGAGGGCAGCTGGGGGGTACCAGGCCTGCAGGGGAGAGCAGTTGAGGGCGACCAGGCCTGCAGGGGAGGGCAGCTGGGGGGGGACCAGGCCTACAGGGGAGGACAGTTGGAGGCAACCAGGCTGGCAGGGGAGGACAGTTAGGAGTGACCAGGCTGGCAGGGGAGGACAGTTAGGGGTGACCAGGCCGGCAGGAGAGGGCAGTTGTGGGGGATCAGGCCTGCAGGGGAGGGCAGTTGTGGGGGACCAGGCCTGCAGGGGAGGGCAGTTGAGGGCAATCAGGTTGGCAGGGGAGGGCAGTTGTGGGGGATCAGGCCTGCAGGGGAGGGCAGTTGTGGGGGACCAGGCCTGCAGGGGAGGGCAGTTGGGGGCAACCAGGTTGGCAGGGGAGGGCAGTTGGGGGCAACCAGGCTGGCAGGGGAGGGCAGCTGGGGGGGACCAGGCCTACAGGGGAGGGCAGTTGGGGGCAACCAGGCTGGCAGGGGAGGACAGTTAGGAGTGACCAGGCTGGCAGGGGAGGACAGTTGTGGGGGATCAGGCCTGCAGGGGAAGGCAGTTGTGGGGGACCAAGCTGGCAGGGGAGGGCAGTTGGGAGTGACCAGGCCTGCAGGGGAGGGCAGTTGGGGGGGACCAGACCTGCAGGGGAGGGCAGCTGGGGGGGTACCAGGCCTGTAGGGGAGGGCAGTTGGGGGGAACCAGGCTGGCAGGTGTGGGCAGTTGGGGGCAACCAGGCCAACAGGGGAGGGAAGTTGGGGGGACCACGCCAGCAGGGGAGGGCAGCTGGGAGGGACCAGGCCTGCAGGGGAGGGCAGTTGGGGGCGACCGGGCCAGCAGGGGAGGGCAGTTGGGAGGAACCACGCCAGCAGGGGAGGGCAGCTGGGAGGGACCAGGCCTGCAGGGGAGGACAGTTGGGGGCAACCAGGCCGGCAGGGGAGGGAAGTTGTGGGGAGGGGACCAGGCCTCCAGGGTAGGGCAGTTGGGGGCACCATGCCTGCAGGGGAGGGCAGTTAAGGGCAACCAGGCTGTCAAAGGAGGGCAGTTAGGGGTGACCAACCCGGCAGGGGAGGGCAGTTGGGGGTGACTGGGCCGGCAGGGGAGCAGTTAGGTGTCAATCAGGCTGGCAGGGGAGTAGTTAGGGAGTGATCAGGCTGGCAGGCAGAAGCGGTTAGGGGCAATCAGGCAGGCAGGCAGGCGAGCAGTTGGGAGCCAGCATTCCTGGATTGTGAGAGGGATCCCAAATTGGAGAGGGTGCAGGCTGGGCTGAGGGACACAGCCCTGGTGCACAAATTTCATGCACCGGGACTCTAGTTAAATTATAAAACAATATTATTTTAGCTTTTAGAATTTATACCTTATAATTATTGAGAATGTTCTTTAAGACCTATTTAGAATTGGATTTTTTAAAATCATATATCACTCCTTTTTTCTGTTTCATTTATTTTTATTTTTATTTTTTTTATTGCTTAAAGTATGACAAAGGGTATTACATATGTGTCCTTTTTTTCCCCCCGCCCTTGACAGTCCCCTAGACTCCCCCATCTCCCAGTGTCTTATGTCCATTGGTTATGCTTATATGCATGCATACAAGTCCTTTGGTTGATCTCTTACCCTCCTCCCTCCTGCCCCCCAATCCTCCCCGGCCTTCCTGCTGCAGTTTGACAATCTGTTTGAGGCAGCTCTGCCTCTGTATCTATTATTGTTCAAAAGTTTATAATGGTCTCTATTATCCATGAATGAGTGAGATCATGTGGTATTTTTCCTTCATTGACTGGCTTATTTCACTTAGCATAATGCTCTCCAGTTCCATCCATGCTGTTGCAAATGATGAGAGTTCCTTTCTTTTTACAGCAGCATAGTATTCCATCATGTAGATGTACCACAGTTTTCTAATCCATTCATCTACTGATGGGCACTTAGGCTGTTTCCAGATCTTAGCTATGGTGAATTGTGCTGCTATGAACATAGGGGTGCATATATCCTTTCTGATTGGTGTTTCTGGTTTTTTGGGATATATTCCTAGAAGTGGGATCACAGGGTCAAATGGGAGTTCCATTTTCAGCTTTTTGAGGAAACTCCATACTGTCTTCCATAGTGGCTGCACCAGTCTGCATTCCCACCAGCAGTGCACAAGTGTTCCTTTTTCTCCACATCCTCTCCAGCACTTGTCGTTTGTTGATTTGTTGATGATAGCCAGTCTGACAGGTGTGAGATGGTACCTCATTATTGTTTTGATTTGCATCTCTTGGATGATTAGTGACTTTGAGCATGTTTTCATATGTCTCTTGGCTTTCTGAATGTCCTCTTTTGAAAGGTGTCTATTTAGGTCCTTTGCCCATTTTTTGATTGGATTGTTTATCTTCCTTTTGTTAAGTTGTATGAGTTCCCTATAAATTTTGGAGATTAGGCCCTTATCATATATGACATTGGCAAATATGTTTTCCCACACAGTGGGTTTTCTCGTTGTTTTGTTGATGGTTTCTTTTGCTGTGCAGAAGCTTTTTATTTTGATGTAGTCCCATTTGTTCATTTTCTCTTTAGTTTCAAGTGCCCTAGGAGCTGTATCAGTGAAGAAATTGCTTCGGCATATGTCTGAGATTTTGTTGCCTTTGGATTCTTCTAGAATTTTTATGGTTTCCTGTCATACATTTAAGTCCTTTATCCATTTTGAGTTTATTTTTGTGTATGGTGTAAGTTGGTGGTCTAGTTTCATTTTCTTGCATATATCTGTCCAATTTTCCCAACACCATTTATTGAAGAGACTATCTTGGCTCCATTGTATGTTCTTGCCTCCTTTGTCAAATATTAATTGAGCATATTGGTTCGGGCCGATTTCTGAGCTCTCTATTCTGTTCCATTGATCTATATGTCTGTTCTTGTGCCAGTACCAGGCAGTTTTGAGAACAGTGGCTTTGTAATACATCTTTTTTTTTTTTTGCATGGAAAACTGAGGTTCCGAGATATTTATTGCTTTGTCACTATCTCACACACACTGAGAGACGGAGCTGGTATTTATTTCAGATCTCTATAACTCCAAGGATCCTGTACTATCTATTTTAGCATCCTCTCTGCCTGCATGAGGTTGAGTCCATCTTAAGGCCCCCCCAAAAAATTTTTTTTTATATATATTTTTTATTGATTAAGATATTACATATGTGTCCTTGTCCCCACGTTACCCTCTACCCCCCACCCCCCCCACCCCCGCTCATGCCCTCACCCCCCCGTTGTCCATGTCCATTGATTAGGCCTATATGCTTGCATATAAGTCCTTTGGTTGATCTGTCCCCCTTACCCCCACCCTCCCCTACCTTCCCTCCAAGTCCCGACAGTCCAATCAATGCCTCTCCGTCTCTGGATCAGTCCTTGTTCATCAGCTTATGTTGTTCATTATATTCCACAAATGAGTGAGATCCTGTGGTATTTATCCACTCTCA